ACCCAAGCTCCTTGAGAGCAAGGATATCCTGTATCTCACCCATCTCAGTATCCCTCCTATGCATAGCATGGTGCCTGCTACACAGTAGGCATCAAAGATGTTTCTTGGCCAGGCACAGGGCTCATGCTTGTAATCCCAGCATTTTGGAAGGCCAAGGCAGGAGGATCTTGAACCTGGGAGTTCGAGGCTGCACTGATCCATGACCATACCACTGCACTCCAGCTGAGCAATAAAGCAAGACCCTGTCTCTTTATTTTATTTCTTGAGACATGGTCTTGCTCTGTCGCCCAGGCTGGAGTGCAGTAGCACGATCATGGTTCACTATAGCCTCAACCTCTCGGACTCAAGGGATCCTCTCACTTCATCCTCCCGAGTAGCTGGGACTACAGGATCACACCAACGTGCCTGGCTAATTTTTTAGAAAACTTTTTGTAGAGACGGGTTCTTGATATGTTGCTCAAGCTGGTCTCTAACTCCAGGGTTCAAGCCATCTTCCTGCCTTGGTCTCCCAAAGTGCTGGGTTTAGCCGGGCGCGGTGGCTCACGTCTGTAATCCCAGCACTTTGGGAGGCTGAGATGGGTGGATCACGAGGTCAGGAGATCGAGACCATTCTGACTAACACGGTGAAACCCCGTCTCTACTAAAAATACAAAAATTAGCCGGGCACGGTGGCGGGTGCCTGTAGTCCCAGCTACAGGGGAGGCTGAGCCAGGAGAATGGCATGAACCCAGGAGGTGGAGCTTGCAGTGAGTGGAGATCGCACCACCGCACTCCAGCCTGGGTGACAGAGCAAGACTCCGTCTCAAAAAAAAAAAAAAAAAAAAAAAAGTGCTGGGTTTATAGACATCAGCTACCACGTCCAGCACTTGTCTCTTAAAAAAAAAAAAAAAGGATATTTGTTGAATCAATGAATGGACAAGTGAAATGTATTAATTGCTTTACCCTAACCACTTCCATAATACACTAGAATCTTATGTCAGATCTCATGACAAGGCCGGGCGCGGTGGCTCAAGCCTGTAATCCCAGCACTTTGGGAGGCCGAGACGGGCGGATCACAAGGTCAGGAGATCAAGACCATCCTGGCGAACACGGTGAAACCCCGTCTCTACTAAAAAAAAATACAAAAAAAACTAGCCGGGCGAGGTGGTGGGCGCCTGTAGTCCCAGCTACTCGGGAGGCTGAGGCAGGAGAATGGCGTAAACCCGGGAGGCGGAGCTTGCAGTGATCTGAGATCCGGCCACTGCACTCCAGCCTGGGCGACAGAGCGAGACTCCGTCTCAAAAAAAAAAAAAAAAAAAAAAGATCTCATGACAAAAGAAAATTGGTCACAGTAGACTGGGAGTTAAATCAAGTCCTGCCCTGTAGTTAGCCAACTGTAGCTTCCCCCCAGCCATGAGAAGAAAATTCACTGCTCATTACCAAATAGACTGCAGATTTCCAAGTTATGCGTAATAATATTAAGGCCTCAACATATCCACAGGGACACTTACTGAATAGTCCTGTGTGCCCAGCTTTCAGCTAGACACTGACTCCAGAATCAGATGGGGGCCTCACCACCAGCTGTTCTACAGATAGAGACAGCACAGCTTGGTGAGAAACACAGAGATGTTAGGAAACAAAGGCATAGCTCAACTGGCTGATAAGAGCTGTGGGTTCTAATCCTGGCTCTGATCCCAGCAGACTCTCTGATCCAGGACAGAGCTCAGGTTCTAGCTGGAAAAAACAAAACAAAACAAAACCTGTAAAACCCCTACAGGTACACACCACCATGCCTGGCCAGATTGGACAAGTTTCCTTCTGTTTTTTATTATTCTTTTTATTTTTTATTTTATTTTTTTTTTTGAGACAGAGTCTCGCTTAGTCGCCCAGGCTGGAGTGCAGTGGCGCGATCTCGGCTCACTGCAAGCTCCGCCTCCCGGGTTCACGCCATTCTCCTGCCTCAGCCTCCCGAGTAGCTGGGACTACAGGCGCCCGCCGCCTCGCCCGGCTAATTTTTTGCATTTTTAGTAGAGACGGGGTTTCACAGTGTTAGCCAGGATGGTCTCGATCTCCTGACCTTGTGATCCGCCCGCCTCGGCCTCCCAAAGTGCTGGGATTACAGGCGTGAGCCACCGCGCCCGGCTATTATTCTTTTTAGATGGAGTCTTGCTCTGTCACCCAGGCTGGAGTGCAATGGTGCGATCTTGGCTCACTGCAACCTCCACCTCCCAGGTTCAAATGACTCTCCTGCCTCAGCCTCCCGAGTAGCTGGGACTACAGGCATGCACCACCACACCCAGCTAATTTTTTTTATTTTTAGTAGAGACGAGATTTCACAATGTTGGCCAGGCTGGTCTTGAACTCCTCACCTCAAGTGTTACGCCTGCCTTGGCCTCCCACAGTGCTGGGATTACAGGTGTGAGCCACCATTCCCAGTCAAGAATGGGGAAGTTTCTTTTCTTCTTTTTCTTCCTCTTCTTCTTTTTTTTTTTTTTTTTTTTTTGAGAGATGGGGTCTCTGTGTTGCCCAGGCTGGTCTCAAACTCCTGGCCTCAAGCAATCCTCCCACCTCGGCCTCCCAAAGTGCCAGGATTACAGGCATGAGTCCCCACATGCCCTGCCTGAGCAAGTTTCTAAATCTGAGATGGTTAGGGTGGTGGAGAGGAAAAAAGAGATAGTAGGAATTGGCAAGGTGAACTTCAGAGTAAGTGAGGCAACATCATTAAATGTCAACAAAAGGAGAGGGATAAGATGAACAGAATCACTTTCCACCCCAACATTCCTTTCATCCTCACCTCAGCATTTTAAAACGATAAGAAATGCAAGCACTTGGCTGGGCATGGTGGCTCATGCCTGTAATCCCAGCACTTTGGGAGGCAGAGGTGGGTCGTTCATTTGAGGTCAGGAGCTCGAGACCAACCTGGCCGACATGGTGAAACCCGGTCTCTACTAAAAATAATACAAAAAAAAAAAAAAAATAGCCAGGAGTGGTGGCACGCACCTATAACCCCAGCTACTTGGGAGGCTGCGGCAGAAGAATTGCTTAAACCCGGGAGGGAGATGTTGCAGTGAGTCGAGATTGCACCATTGCACTCCAGCCTGGGTGACAGAGGGAGACCCCGGCTTAAAAAGAAAAAAAGAAATGTAAGCACTTTAAGAAATCCACCCAATTCCTCCAGGCCTCAATGGACTGACCTAGGGTCACTCTGGAAAAATCTCACTCTCTCAGCGCCTGAGTCAGCCCTCTCCCCTACAGCTCACCACTCCCGCTGAAACCTGGACCCTTTCAGTCTTAGAAGCCAAGTTGGAACTTGGAACCAACCCTAGGCATTGAAATGCCACCGTCATCAGTAGGTAATCCATGAGCCAGCTCAAGCCATCTGTCCTTTGGCCGGGGAGGGGTGGAGTCTCTTCCAGGGTGGGCATGTGGTGAGCAGAGAACATTCAGGGGCATGCGGACCTCACATAGTATCCTCTTCCTGTGCTATCTCTGGTCTCAAAGCTCCCTCGCCCCCAGACAAGTAGATGGGCACACACTCAACACACACAAGCATTCATATGTGCATATGTACACACATGCACCCATACGCCAACACACATAGACACATACAGACAGACACATGCACCCTCACATAAGAGTCCCTCAGCTACCCCAAGTTGTCAGAGCTGCTCCTTTGCCTTTGCTACCAAAACTGTGGTGCCAGGAGCCCAGAAGAACCTGGGATCCAAGCAGTAGAAAACCCTGTTGTTAGTCCGGTGCTGCGGCTGACACCTGTAATCCCAATGACTCAGGAAGCCAAGGTGGGAGGATCGCTTGAGGTCAGGAGTTAGAGACCAGACTGGGCAACATAGTGAGGGCCCTTCTCTAAAACAAGCAAACAAACAAAAAAAACCAGGTGTGGTGGTGTGCACCTGTAAGTCCCAGCTACTCAGAAGGCTGAGGCGAGAGGATCACTTGAACCCAGGAGTTCAAAGTTACGGTGACCTGTGAGCGTGCCACTGCACTCTAACCTGGGTGACGGAAGACCCCAATTCAAAAAGAAAAGAAACAAAAACCCTCTTGTTGATAAATGCCTCCTTAGGAAAATAGGTGCTGAAGAGACAGAGAGATGGAGAAAAGAAGCTAAAGCCAGGTGGGCTGTGTGTGAACGTATGTATATGTGTGTAAGCATGTGTACACATGTATAACGCCCAGGTACTGGGGTGGTGGGGGTAGGGGTGGAGCAAGGCAAGGAAAAGAGGGGCCAGCGAAAGACAAAGGAGGGAAGTTGGACACGGTGGCTCATGCTTTTAATCCCAGCACTTTGGGACATTGAGGCCAGGAGTTCAAGACCAGCCAGTCTCTAAAAAAAAAACAACAAACAAAGAAAAAAACAGAGAGAGATGGAGACACACCCCCACCCCCTCTGGTCCCTCTCTTAATCTTCCCTTCCCTCCCTCTCCCGGCAATTCCATTTAGGCCTGGGTGTGGCAGAACCGGGCTCAGAGCAGCCTGAAGACAGATGACCCTTCTGGGGAGTGGAGCTCTCTCCCCAGTCTTGCTTTAAAAAGTAAGGGGGTAGAGGTCGGGCATAGCACTTTGAGAGGCTGAGGTGGGAGGATCGCTTGAGGCCAGGAGTTCAAGATCAACCTGAGCAAGACCCTGTCTCCATAAAAAAAATTTTTTTAATTTGCCAGGTGTGCTGGCACCTGCCTGTAATCCCTGCTATCTGGGAGGCTGAGGAGGATCGCTTGAGCTCTGGAGTTCGAGACCAGCCTGGGCAACGTAACAAGACCTCCGTTTCCACCAAAAAATTTAATAAAAACAAAAAGCAAGGGGGTAGGGACCTCATCAGTCGTCCTGCAGAGTCTTGGTCTCCACCTCTGCCCTGCTCTCCTCTCTGCCGCCCGTTCCTTAGCGACGGTCTCTAAGTCCCTGCTAGGCGCCCCCTGCCCCATCTCCTCCTGGTCGCCTAACGGAGGGTATCTTCCCCTTTAAATCCGCGGCCCCCGGTCCGGTCATTGTCTCGCCTGGCAGCCAATCGGCGGCGCCGTTGGGGGCGGGGGATCCGGCCTCCCAATTGGTCGCCGTGCGCCCCGCCCCGCCAGGGATCCCGGGAGCTGTCCGGCCGCCTCGGTGCTGATCCCGCCACCGCCCACGGGCCGCTAGCAGCGCAGAGGGCACTATGAGCGGGGGCGTCTACGGCGGAGGTGAGCGAGCCTCCGGCCCCCTGCGTTCCGAACCCGCGCCATCCATCCGAGCTCTGGGCACCCCGGGGCCTGTCACCTCCGCGCATGAACGGGTCCAGTCTCAGGCTCGGGTTCCCGCCTCCCCTGCGCTCCGTTCTCGTGCGCACCGGGCCGAACCTCTCTACCTTACAACCCACCTCCACCTGGCCCCGGCCCCTTCCTTTCCCGTCAGGAGGGTGGCCTGAGCAAGGCCAGTGGGCAAGAAGGGACCCTGGCGGTATGATGCCCCCACCCCCAGTCCCAGGACCTCAGACTCCAGGCCCAGTTCCCACCGGCTCCAGACTGGTGTTGAAGGTGGCGAGTCTGTGGCTCTGCCCTGACTTTCTCTCGGAACTACCTAGCGGGAAAAACTTCGGGGGAGGTCCCCTTACAGGCCTGTCTCCCCTCACAGATGAGGTGGGGGCGCTGGTCTTTGACATTGGCTCCTTCTCAGTCCGCGCTGGGTACGCTGGGGAGGACTGTCCCAAGGTGAGCCTTCCAGTCTCCTCTCTAAATCCTAGGGGCTCCGGACCCTTCTTCAGGCTTTCCAGTGACCCAGGGCTCTCCCAGATCACCCAGAAGCTCTGCTGAGCGGGAATGTGGGAATAAACCCAGGGGCGGGCTGAGGACCCTGCCGTGGGGCTGGACAGGGGCAAGAGGGTGACCCCTCTCCTGCCGATCCTCCCCCAACCCTTCCCCACCAGGCTGACTTCCCCACCACGGTGGGGCTGCTGGCCGCGGAGGAGGGGGGCGGGCTGGAGCTGGAGGGGGACAAAGAGAAGAAAGGGAAGATCTTCCACATCGACACCAATGCCCTGCACGTGCCTCGGGATGGAGCGGAGGTCATGTCGCCCCTCAAGAATGGCATGAGTAAGGGGCCCCCACCCATCACCTCCTGACAGATAGGGAGCCCACTCCCCACGATCTGGGACATAGCAGCCCCCACTCCCCAAGGAGTCTTCCTTGCAGCCCCAGGGTTCTTCTCGCTGCCAGGGTTCTTCTCGCTGGGTTCCCTTCCCAGGGGCCCAGCAGGTTTCTGGGAAGGGGGGACGTTCCCCTGGGCCTGGACTCACTGACCCTCCTTTGGGCTTGGCCTTTCTCCCTACTTTTCTTCCTGTCCCTGACCCCTGCCTGCCCTCTTGCCTTTCTCCACTCTGCTCTTCTGGCCCCAGTCGAGGACTGGGAGTGCTTCCGAGCCATCCTGGATCATACCTACAGCAAACACGTCAAGTCTGAGCCAAACTTGCACCCCGTGCTCATGTCCGAGGCCCCGGTGAGTGCCTCCTGCCTTCCCATGTCCAACCCCGATCTCCACTGCACCTGCTTCCCACCATCCACCTCTCCTCCTCTCCCCTCAAGCCACCGATGTCAGCCACTTCCCTTCCCTTTTCAGACTCCCCTCACCCATCCCAACCACTTTCCTTCCTTCCTAAGTCTCCATCCCTCCTGCTCTCTTCTTGTTCTATCTACTCTGCTGCCCTTCTCCATCTCCAAGTCCTTTTTTAATTTTTTTTTTTTTTGACACAGAGTCTCACTCTGTCACCCAGGCTGGAGTGCAATGGTGAGATCTCAGCCTCTGCCTCCCGAGTTCAAGGGATTCTCCTGCCTCAGCCTCCCGAGTAGCTAGGATTACAGGCACCTGCCATCATGCCTGGCTAACTTTTTGTATTTTTAGTAGAAATGGGGTTTTGCCATGTTGGCCAGGCTGGTCTCGAACTCCTGACCTCAGGTGATCCACCCGCCTTGGTCTCCCAAAGTGTTGGGATTACAGGCATGAGCCACCATGCCCAGCCTCCAAGTACTTTTTAGACCTTTTAACTTATTATTATTTTGGTCAACATTGGTGAGCTGGGGATGTGGGCTCACACCTGTAATCCCAGCACTTTGGGAAGCCAAGGCGAGAGGATCACTTGAGCCCAGGAGTTCGAGACCACCCTGGGCAATATGGCAAGACCCATCTCTTTTATCAAAACAATAACAATTAAAAAAATTTTTTAACTGCATTTTAAAAAATGTTCTTACCCATATCCTTATAGATTCCTCTTTATAGAAGCAACTGTTTTTCTCCTTTTTAGCTAATTTTGGGGGTATTTTCTTCCATATCTCTAATATTACACTTAAATTGCTGCCTGTGGAGTTTTTAGTTTTAGATATTATCAATGAATTTTCCACTCTAGAAAATGATCACTTAGCTCTTTTTTCCTCCCCAGCCTATGCCACAACATATTTCTATTACCCTCCTTTAAGTACAGTGGGTTTTGTTGTTGTTGTTTTTGTTGTTGTTGTTGTTTGTTATTTGTTTTTGAGATTTTGTCTCAAAAACAGGGGCTCCGCTCAGTTTATCACCCAAGTTGGATTGCAGTGGCACAGTTCTGCAGCCTTGGTCTCCTGGGCTCAAGTGATCCTCTCATTTCAGCCTCCGGAGTAGCTGGAACTACAGGCATGAGCCACCACGCCCAGCTGATTTTTAAATTTTTTGTAGAGACAGGGTTTCACCATGTTTTCCAGGCTGGTCTTGAATTCCTGGGCTCAAGCGATCCGCCCGGGTCGTCCACCCAAAATGCTGGGATTACAAGTGGGATCCACTGCACCCAGCCCAGTTGTATTTTAGACTTTGAAAGAAATCAATATTCAGTATTTACACTCTTTTTAAGTTAGAAATAATTTTAAGAGAATCTTTTGTAGAGATGGGGTCTCATTATATTGCCCAGGCTGGCTTCAAACTCCTGTGCTTAAGCGATCCTTCTACCTCAGCTTACAAAGTGCTGGGATTACAGGCATGAGTCACTGTGCCCAGCCCAAGATTTACATTTTTATTACTATGTATGTTAATCAGGTCTGAGACAGGCAATATACACTATGATCACTTTTCCTTTCTTGTGCAACTTTTTGTTTTCCTAGAACTGGAAAAAAAAAATGTGTTCAATTTTTTTTCTTTTTTTTGAGAGGGAGTCTTGCTCTGTCACCAGGCTGGAGTGCAGTGGTGCAATCTCGGCTTACTGCAAGCTCCACCTCAGGTTCAAGCGATTCTCCTGCCTCAGCCTCCCAAGTAGCTGGGACTACAGGTGTGCGCCAGCACACCCAGATAATTTTTGTATTTTTAGTAGAGACAGGGTTTCACCATGTTGGCCAGGATGGTCTCGATCTCTTGGCCTCGTGATTCACCCACCTTGGCCTCCCACAGTGCTGGGATTACAGACAGGCCACCACCCCCAGCCCTGTGTTTGATTATATTTGGTCTGGTTTTCTATCTACTTAACAGTGTGAACCCTAAATTATTCATCAATTATATCTTTTGTCAAGACATCAGTTTCATTAGACATTTTATCAATTTCATCTTCTTGAAGAAATTTCTTCAGGAGCCCACTGACCTGGTCCAGTTTGCACTAGTAGCCCTCTGCCCGGGGACAGACCTGTTGTGCTGGTATTTCCCTTCACCATCATCTCATAGAATCCTTTTGCCTCTGTTCTGGTCAGAAGTTCTGTTTCCTGTACTTGACTCCTTTTCTTGACTCACTCTTTTGTTTTCATGGAGCAGGTCCTTCAGTAACTGCCTTAGAAAAGTCATGAGAGGCCAGACACAGTGGCTCACTCCTGTAATCCCAGCACTTTGGGAGGCCAAGGTGGGAGGATCACTTGAGCCCAGGAGTTTGAGACCAGCCTGTGCAATATACTGAGATCTTATTTCTACCAAAAATATAAAAATTAGCTGGCCATGGTGGTGCATGCCTGTAGTCCCAGCTACTCGGAAGGCTGAGGTAAGAGAATCGCTTGTATCTAGGAGGCAGAGGTTGCAGTCAGCCTAGATCATGCCACTGCACTCCAGCCTGGGCGACAGGGTGAGACTCTGTCTAAAAGGAAAAAAAAATTAATAATCTAAAAAAAAAAATTTTTTTTGAGATGAAGTCTCGCTCTTGTTCCCCAGGCTGGAGTGCAATGGCGTGATCTCGGCTCACTGTAACCTCCACTTCCTGGGTTCAAGCAATTCTCCTGCCTCAGCATCCCGAGTAGCTGGGATTACAGGCACCTCCCACCACGCCTGGCTAATTTTTGTATTTTTAGTAGAGACGGGGTTTCACCATGTTGGCCAGGCTGGTCTCAAACTCCTGACCTCAAGTGATCTGCCTGCTCCAGCCTCCCAAAGTGCTGGGATTACAGGCGTGAGCCACCGTGCCTGGCATCTAAAAAAAAAAATTTAAAGAAAGGTCATGGGAAGTATATTTTTTGAGACTTTGTATGTCTCACCTTGAGTTGATAGCTCAGCTAGGTATCACATGCCAGGTTGGAAATCATTATTCTTCAGAATCTTGAAGGCACTTTTCCATTGTCCTTCTTCCAGCATATATTGTTGCCATTAAGAAGGATGAAACCATCTGATTTCTGATCCTCTGATGTAATGTTTTTGTTTCTGAAAGTTTATAGAATTTTTACTTTATCCTCAATGTGGCATATTTTCATTCGTGGCTCTAGGCACTTAGTACGTCTCTTCACTCTGAAAACCTATGTCTTTCAATTCAGTGAAAAAAATATTTATTTAGTTATTTATTTCTCTCCATTTTCTCTCTTGGGATTTTCTGTTATTTGGATTTTGTTGCCCCCTGAATTGGTCCTCTAATTTAATTCCCTTTTCTCTTATATTTTCCATCTGTTTACCTTTTTCCTTTGGTTTCCAAGATATTCCCTCCACTTTATGTTCCAATCCTTCTATTGAGTTTTTCATTTCTGTTCATGTAGTTTTAATTCCCACAAGCTCTTTACTTTAAAAAAATTTTTTTAAATGAGACAGCATCTCACTATGTTGTCCAGGCTAGTTTCGAACTGCTGGGTTCAAGCAATCCTCCTGCCTTGGCCTCTCAAAGTGCTGGGATTACAGGTGTAAGCCACCGTGTCTGGCCTGTGCAAATGTTTTGAATGCGTGTGTGTGTGAATATATGTGTATGTGCGAGTGCGTGGGAGTTTGTGTGTGTGAATGCAAGTGTATACGTGTGTTTGACTGTGTGTTTGCGAGTGTGTTTGAATGCATGTGTAACTGTGAGAGTATGTATAGTGTGAATGCATGTGTGTGTATTTGTGTGTGTGTATCTGTGAGTGTGAGTGTATGTGTGTTTGAGTGTGTGTGCGCAAATGAATGCATGTGTGTATGACCGTGAGTGTATGTGTGAGTGTTTAGGTCGTGTGTGTGTGCAAGTGTTTGAATGCATGTGTGTGTGTGATCATGAGTGTATGTGTGTTTGGGTTGCATGTGCGTGGATGTGGGTCTGTGCCTTTCCCTTCTTGAATCCTCCCCTCCTGCACTTTCTCCACAGTGGAACACACGGGCCAAGCGGGAGAAGCTGACAGAGCTGATGTTCGAGCAGTACAACATTCCTGCCTTCTTCTTATGCAAGACGGCCGTGCTCACCGCGTATCCTCTGGACTGAGCTGCTCTGACTGAGTGGAGGGCAGGGGTGGGGCCTGTGCTGAGCTCAGCTGAGATGAGCTGGGGGATCAGGCCTGGTTCTCTGAAGATCAGTGTCCCAATGGGCAGACACCTCCCTCCGCCCCACTAGTGCAGAAGGCCCAGTGGACTGAGCACATCTGAGCCTGGGGTGGCCAGATCAGCGGCCCCTTTCTGTTCCCTGGATCAGGCTGAGCAGACAGCGAGCTGGGCCCTGGAGAGAGCAGGCACTGGAACTGGACAGAGGAGGGAGATATGTAGAACACTGCGGCAGTCCCTTCCCAAGAACTCCTTCAACACTGACTTTTTTTAGGATCTGCCTTACATTGAACCCTGTGCTATGCACTGGGGTGATAGTGACCCTAATTTTAGGGAATCTATAGGACACAACCAAAAATAAAGGGGCTGGGCGCTGTGGCTGGCCAGGCACAGTGGCTCACACCTATAATCCCAGCACTTTGGGAGGCCAAGGCAGGCAGATCACTTGAGGTCAGGAGTTCAAGACCAGTCCAGCCAACATGGCAAAACCCTGTGTCTACTAAAAATGCAAAAATTAGCCAGGCATAGTGGTGGGCACCTGTAGTCCCAGCTATTTGGGAGGCTGAGGCAGGAGAATCTCTTGAACCCAGAGGCAGAGGTTGCAGTGAGCGATTGCACTCCAGCCTAGGTGACAGAGCAAGACTCAGTCTCAAAAAATAAATAAATAAATAAATAAATAAACAAACAAACAAACAATAAGTAAAGAAGTAACTGGGGGCCGGGCGCGGTGGCTCAAGCCTGTAATCCCAGCACTTTGGGAGGCCGAGACGGGCGGATCACGAGGTCAGGAGATTGAGACCATCCTGGCTAACACGGTGAAACCCCGTCTCTACTAAAAAAAATACAAAAAACTAGCCGGGCGAGGTGGCGGGCGCCTGTAGTCCCAGCTACTCGGGAGCTGAGGCAGGAGAATGGCGTGAACCCAGGAGGCGGAGCTTGCAGTGAGCCGAGATCCGGCCACTGCACTCCAGCCTGGGCGACAGAGCGAGACTCCGTCTCAAAAAAAAACAAAAACAAAACAAACAAAAAAAAAGAAGTAACTGGGGTCTCAGAGCCTTTCTCCAGGAGATGAGTCATCACCAGGAGGAGAGATTTGCACACTGGGGATGAGCTGGACCCTGGCAGAGCAGAGAGTGACCAGACCAGATCTGGGCCCAGGCCCCTCATTTGCCACTGCTGTCTCTTTGACTTACCCATCCGATGCCAGCTTTGCAAACGGGCGGTCCACGGGCCTTGTGCTGGACAGTGGGGCCACCCACACCACGGCCATTCCAGTACATGACGGCTACGTCCTGCAGCAAGGTGGGGCTTCGGCAAGGGGCAGGGGCGCACCAGGAGGACGAGATCCTGACACTGCCTTCCTTCCAGGTATCGTCAAGTCCCCTCTGGCAGGGGACTTCATCTCCATGCAGTGCCGGGAGCTGTTCCAGGAGATGGCCATTGACATCATCCCACCTTACATGATCGCAGCCAAGGTGGGGCCTCTGGGGACACAGAGCTGCCACTAGAGTCCTGGCCACTCGCCCCATGGCCGTCAACCCGCTGACACACGAGATATCAGAGCAGAGAGCAGCAGGCTCCCCAGTGGGTCCTGGCTCCAGTTTCTCCTTATATAAGTGAGGCATCTGAAATCCAGACAGGCTGAGGGATACGCTGAGGTCATGGAATCAGCTAGCAGACAGCAGGATGTGTGAGGGCCAGTGTGGTGGGTTCTAGGGTTCAATATAAACCCAGGTTCAAGTTCTGCCTCTGCCGTGCAAGAGCTGTGGGACCGGCCGGGCATGGTGGCTCATGCCTGTAATCCCAGCACTTCGGGAGGCCGAGGCAGGCAGATCACTTTGAACTCACTTCGAGACCAGCCTGGGCAACATGGTGAAACCACATCTCTACTAAAACTACAAAAACTAGCCAAGTATGGTGGCACATGCCTGTAGTCCCAGCTACTCAGGAGGCTGAGACTGAAGAATCACCTGAACCCTGGAAGCAGAGGTTGCAGTGAGCCGAGATCGCGCCACTGTACTCCAGCCTGGGCGACAGAGTGAGACTCTGAAAAAAAAAAAAAAAAAGAGCTGTGTGACCAATAGCATGATATCAAAGCTCCCTGGGCCTCAGTTTCCTCTTCTGTAAAGTGGAACGGTAATAGGCAGTAGCCAGGGTGCTGTATGAAGTGACACTGTGTGCTTAGCTCCGTCCTGTGCCCTCACGTGGATCGCGGCCCCCTAGGAGGCCATTCTCTGGAGATTCTGTCACTGCTGTATTCCTGGTGTTCTCCAGGTCAGCTGTATCCACTGCATGAAGGGCACACACGGAGAGAGAGGCATGCCCCATTCTCTCTCCTGTCCATCAGGAAAGGGTGAGAAACCCTCTTGCAGGCAGCACAGCAGAGCCTCCAGTGCCAGTTAGCTGCAGAGCTGGGAACAGTGCCAGGAAGATGGGGTAGGGGTCAGGGTGGGCTAAGAAAGGGTGTTCCTACGCTTTGTCCCCACAGGAGCCTGTCCGGGAGGGCGCCCCCCCAAACTGGAAGAAGAAGGAGAAGCTCCCCCAGGTCTCCAAGTCCTGGCATAACTACATGTGTAATGTGAGCCTCTGGAGAGGGTCCCCTGAAGCCCCCTCCCCTGCCGTGAATGGGGGCGAGGCAGGGGCCTTGCATGGGAGGTGGAGCAGGGAGGGGGAGCTGGGCGGGGGGTGTTGCTCAGGAGGAACCCAGGCCCTCATCACCCTCACTGGGATTTCAGGAGGTGATCCAGGACTTCCAGGCCTCCGTGCTGCAGGTCTCAGACTCCCCCTACGATGAACAGTGAGTGTGGCTCAGGGCTGGGGGGTGGGAGAAAGGGCAGAACTGGGACTCCTGGGGTGGGCTGGGGGACTCTGGTGCTGTCCACCCACTGATCCCTCTTGAGCACCCCAGGCAGAGTCCTGCTCCCTTCTGGGCAGGGTGGCTGCACAAATGCCCACAGTGCACTACGAGATGCCCAATGGCTACAACACAGACTATGGCGCCGAACGACTCCGCATCCCCGAGGGCCTCTTTGATCCCTCGAACGTCAAGGTTTGGCTGTGTGGCAAGGACTGGGGTGGGTGCTGGCTGCAGTCCTTGGATCCTGGGGCGTGGGGGAGTCTGGGAAGGATTGCAGGGACTGGGGGAAGGGGGAGAGGGCCCACAGCCCCAGTCACCTCTCTCTGCAGGGCCTGTCGGGGAATACCATGTTGGGTGTGGGCCACGTGGTGACCACCAGCATCGGCATGTGTGACATTGACATTCGCCCGGTGAGGCCAGGCCGGAGCTGAGGCTGGGCAAAGGGGCCCAGGGGAAGTGGGAAGGCAGGGTTGGGGGGCTGTCCCCCGTGGCTCACTCCTTCTTCCTGCTCTCAGGGCCTGTATGGGAGTGTCATTGTCACCGGCGGGAACACACTGCTGCAGGGCTTCACTGACAGGCTCAATCGAGAGCTTTCCCAGAAGACCCCACCGGTAGGAGCCCACCCCTGACCCAGTGCCCCAGAAGCCCATCCTGGCTCAGCTGTCCAGGACTGAGTCCCCCGTTCTTCCCATGTCCTTCCTTCTGTTCTGTCCACCAGAGCAGAACCCCTGCCCCTGAGGCTTCCCAAGTCTTCCCCCTGCCCCCCAAGCCCTGTCCCTTCCCAGAACCTAGGTGTCTGCTTCCCCCAGCCCCTTTTTACCCCCAGAGCATGCGACTGAAACTCATTGCCAGCAACAGCACCATGGAGCGCAAGTTCAGCCCCTGGATTGGGGGTTCCATCCTGGCCTCACTGGTGAGAGGAAGGGGACCTGGCCTAGCACTGACTGTGGGGGACAGGGGAGACCCAGACAGCGCCCGCCACTTTGCCTGCCTCTTCATTCATTCATTCATTCATTCATTCAACGAACATTTATTTTTGAGAAATGTCGGTCAATGAATGTTCCCAGAAAGGTGAACAGGACACAAATTGGGGGCAGGGGCCCAGTACAGTGACCCGCACCTGTCATCCCAGCACTTTGGGAGGCTGAAGTGGGAGGATGGCTTGAGGCTAGGAGTTCAAGACCCAGCAGGGGAACATAGCAAGACCCATCTCTACTTTTACAAATCGGGGAGAAGAGGCCGCGCACGGTGGCTCATGCCTGTAAACCCTGCACTTTGGGAGGCCGAGGCGGGCGAATCACTTGAGGTCAGGAGTTCGAGACCAGCCTGGCCAATACGATGAAACCTTGTCTTTACTAAAAATACAAAAAATAGCCAGGCGTGGTGGTGTATGCCTGTAATCCCAGCTATTCAGGAGGCTGAGGCAGGAGAATCTCTTGAACCCAGGAGATGGAGATTGCAGTAAGCTGAAATCGTGCCACTGCACTCCAGCCTGGGTGACACAGTGAGACTCTCTCTCAAAAAAAAAAAAAAAAAAAAAAAGGAGTAGAGGGACAGGTAGTTGGAGAGATTGGTCAGGATGAGATTTTGGTGAGACACCCACTGTGTTCAGTCAGCAGAGGGGAGACCCTGATGGTTTGGGGCAGGGAGTGATGTGGCAATGCAGGCATGATTGGAAAGACTGCCAGGCATGAGTCTTTGGGGTTGAGGTGTGAGCTGGGGTCAACAGGACCTTGCAAGGAGGCTGTTTCAATTGTCCTGGAGTCATAGCATGGGTAGCAGTGGGGATGGGGTAGACAGCAAGGGGCAACTAGCAAAGGAGGCAGGCAGATTGGTTCTGGAGCAGGAGGTGGTAAGTTCAGTCTGGACCTGCTGCTGGGGTGGAAGGAAGGTACTGAGCAGGGAGCTGGAGTTGCAACCCGCATCTGGAGCATATCAGTCACACAGAGGGGACAGTGAGGCCATGACAGACAAGGAGGACATCCACGAGAAAGGAAGTCCCCTAGGGAGACAGAAACTAGGGTCAGAAAGACAGAGGCTGGCAGTCTGAACTTAGCTTAGGGCTGGAGCATGTCAGCCACACAGTTCTTCTGTTTTTTTCCTTTTTTTTTTGAGACAGAGTCTCACTCTGTCACCCAGGCTGGAGTGCAGTGGAGCAATCTTGGCTCACTGCAACTTCTGCCTCCTGGGTTCAAGCGATTCTTCTGCCTCAGCCTCCCAAGTAGCTGGGATTACACGCGTGCACCACCATGCCTGGCTGATTTTTGGATTATTAGTAGAGACGGGGTTTCACCATGTTGGCCAAGCTTGTCTCAAACTCCTGACCTCAAGTGATCTGCCCATCTTGGCCTCCCGAAGTGCTGGGATTACAGGTGTGAGCCACCGTGCCTGGCCCAAAATTAAGTATTAATAATATATCCTGGCCAAGTGGAGTGGCTCACGCCTGCAATCCCAGCACTTTGAGAGGCCAAGGCGGGAGGATCACTTGAGCCCAAAATTTCTAGACCAGCCTGGTCAATAAAGTGAGACCTCATCTCTACAAAAAATTTAAAAAGCAGCTGGCAATGTGGCACATACCTGTAGTCCCACCTACTTGGGAGGCCAAGGTTGGAGGATCACTTGAACCTGGAAGGTTGAGGCTGCAGTGAGCTGTGCCACTACACTCCAACCTGGGTAACAGAGCGAGATCCTGTCTAAAAAAAAAAAAAAGAAAAGAAAAAAATTGGGTGTGTATTTTCCACTTGGAGCATGTCTCAATTTGGACCAGGGCTGGTGAGCCACAGGAGGCTAGTGGCCACTGCCTTGGATAGCACATGTGTGTAGGGTGAGAAAGATCAAAGAACCCCAGGCATAGTAGCTCACATCTGTAATCCCAACATTATGGGAGGCTGAGGTGGAATGATTACTTGAGCCCAGGAGTTTGAGACCAGCCTGGGCAACACAGTGAGACCCCATCTCTACAAAAAATAAAAATTAGGCTGGGCATGGTGGGTTACGCCTATAATCCCAGCACTTTAGGAGGTCAAGGCGGGCAGATCATCTAAGGTCAGGAGTTTGAGACCAGCCTGGCCAACATGGTGAGACCCTGTCTCTACTAAAACTACAAAAATTAGCCGGGTGTGGTGGCAGGTGCCTGTAATCCCAGCTACCCAGGAGCCTGAGGCAGGAGAATCGCTGGAACTTGGGAGGCAGAGGCTGCAGTGAGCCGAGATCATACCACTGCACTCCAGCCTGGGCAACGGAGCAAGACTCCATCTCAAAAAAAAAAATTAAAAATTAAAAAATTAAAATTAAAATTAAAAAATAGAGAGAGAAGGGACACTCTGAGATGCTCATTGCAGGAACCCTCATGGGGTAAGTTGTGACGCTGAAGGCTTCAGATGGGGTGCCACAGTGTTGGAATGGTGAGGTGGAGGGAATATCTTCCTTGGGAAAGAGGGAGACTAGTGGTGTTCCGAAGCCCTGATGGAGTGAGGAGAGGACACCTGGTGGGGAAGGACTGTGTGTGTGTAGGGGGTGTTGAGTGCTGGGTGCAGGCTGGCTTGCCCGGGGCTGTGCGTGCCATCCCCCCAGCTCAGGAGCAGAGCCTAGCTCAGGGCAGAGACTGCTGTTCAATAAATACTTGCTGAATGAATGAATTATTGATTTAATGATATGAAGAGGATACTCTCCCTCTGAATATGAAAGGGGACAGACAGAGGAGGGGAGGATGAGGTGGGGAGAGGTTTCAGAGGGATGTGAACCCAAGGGGTGGTCGGGGCCTGTTGGAGGGTTCCCAGGGGCTGCACCTGCCGGTCCACACCTCCCTCCAAGGCCACCCTGACCCTGATATTGCCCCCTCCACCCAGGGCACTTTCCAGCAGATGTGGATCTCCAAGCAGGAATATGAGGAGGGCGGGAAGCAGTGCGTGGAGCGAAAGTGTCCCTGACGGCGCTCCTCCCCACGCACCTGCTCCCAAGCTCAGCTGGAAGTCCCTTAACCCCATGCCACATCGCCCCCTCCTCTTTCCCTCTTGTCTTCGTAAATGGTGATGTTTCTGGGTTGAAAGAAGTAAAAATGTTTTAAGAAAAAAAAAGTTTGGCCTCCGTGGGGTGGGGAGTGGGCGGAGGGGTCTGGAGGGAGGTGAGGGGAGGGAGGGTCACTGCTACACCCATGCCGATCCCACAATGGGCGCTGGGACACAGCCCCAGGGGCCATGGATTCCTCAGGTTTCCGAGGGGTTGTGACCCAGGGGAGGCCACGCGACGAAGACTGAGGGTCGGGGGTGTTGCTGGGGGGTAACAGTTGTGGTGGGAGGTGGGAGGGGCTGCAGGCTGCAGCGGAGGGGCGGGGCCTGGAGTGAGCGTGGCAGGAGGTGGGTGGAGCAGGAGGTGAAGCCTGGGGGAGCGGAGCAGGAGGTGGGGCCTGGTGGGCGGGGCCTCAGCGTAGGCCTCAGGTCGCAGGGGAGCAGCGCGCCTGAGCACCCCAGGACCTGCGCTCAGGTGAGCTGCGCTATGCCTTCCTTCCTGGGGCTCTTGGTGGTGACAGACATGGGGCGGGGCCTAGGGCGCTGGTGCATCCCAGCAGCTCGGAACTTCTCTGGACCTGAGTAGGAGTTGATGTTACCCAGGGGAGACCCCAAAGGGAAACTTGGTGGGACCCTGAGCCTTCCTCTTGAGAGCTACTTGTCCTGGGGCCCTCGGAAGGGCTTGGGGACCTGTGCCCCCTGCCTGTTTAGCAGTTTGTGCCTGCCTGTGATGTGTTTCTGGAGTGAGGCTAACTGGCCTTTCATCAGCCTCAGAACCCAAAGAGGTAGAAACCCACGTGATCCAAGTCCTTTGGTGACCAAACAGGGGCTGGTGCCCAGGGAGGGCCATGATTTGTCCAGGGTCACTCAGCTCTGCCCACACCTTGACAGAGACTCTGATCACTCCTCCCCACTGACCCACAGATCCATGACCCCAGAACCCCCATCTGGGAGCTCTCGCTGGTCTCATCTGACCATGTGCTCCCACCTGTGCCCCTCCTTCTCCAGCAGCCAGAGGGAGTCTGAGAACCAGCTTTCAAAAGAGACGCACATGCACACCACCAGACCAAACCCCCAAGTCACACCACTGTGGTGACTCCAGCTTAGAATACCACTGGGGCAAGTGTCAGGGCAGGGAGGACAGCTGATATGTCATAGAACCTGGGCACTGGGGGACCCTGAAAGCCAGATGAGGAAGGGGCAGATGTCTTAGGGGTGAATCTTCCACCTGGGCATGGCGGGGCTGAGGAAGGGGTCCCCAGGATCCAGGGAGGGGTAAAAGCAGGAGAGGGGAGGGGCACCCATGTCTCTCCCCTCCCCCACTATCGGCCCCCTTCCCCCACCCCTGATGGGAACTAGGAGGCCAAAGTCCGCCCCAAGGTCAAAAAATTGATTGTTTTGCAGGGAGCAGGCAGGTGTGGGGCTGTGGAGAGATTGGCAGGGGAGAGCACAGCCGCTTGTGCTCTGGCCTGGACTCAGGGGCCACGTCTGGAAGGTTGGACCGAGGCCAGGACTGTGCCCCCACCCTTGGGGGTGGTAAGGAGCAGCCTTGGCTCAGGCTTTCTGCCAGGGCTGATAAGGAGCCCTCCTGGGGCTCCCACAAACGGTTTATCGGTTTATCACTGGGGACAGCCTGCAGGCTTCAGGAGGGGGCACAAGCATGGAGCAGCTTTGGGGTCTACTCCAGAGAGCGGTAAGACCAGTGGGATTGGGAAGACCCCTTAGGCCTTCTCTCTACATCCCTCAGCCCCCTCCCAAGCCCCTGACGCTGGCCCCTCCTGGCCTGTGTCCTGACCTCGCTTCTTCCCACCCCTGCCCCTCTTTTCTAGCCCGCTCCCCTCAGTCCCTTCCCCACTCCCCCGCCACCATGCTTATTTGACACCCTTAAGTCACTGACCTCATTATTGCCAGATGCCTCCCCACCCCCCCGGCCTCTTGCCCCGATCTCATGCCCACCTTGCCTGCACAGCAACAACTGTCCCCAAGATCCTCTCAGACCGTCTACCAGCGTGTGGAAGGCCCCCAGAAAGGGCACCTGGAGGAGGAAGAGGAAGACGGGGAGGAGACACTGGCCCACTTCTGCCCCATGGAGCTGAAGGGCCCTGAGCCCCTGGGCTCTAGACCCAGGCAGCCAAACCTCATTCCCTGGGCAGCAGCAGGACGGAGGGCTGCCCCCTACCTGGTCCTGACTGCTCTACTGATCTTCACTGGGGGTGAGAGTCGTCCCCCTCCCCTGAAGTAAAAGGCCTGGGCTGGGGGTCCAGAGGTGGGCACAAAGAGAATCCCCATCTTGCCACCCACCAGCCTTCCTTCTGGGCTACGTCGCCTTCCGAGGGTCCTGCCAGACATGCGGAGACTCCGTGTTGGTGGTCAGTGAGGACGTCAACTATGAGCCTGACCTGGATTTCCACCGGGGCACACTGTACTGGAGCGACCTCCAGGCCATGTTCCTGCAGTTCCTGGGGGAGGGGCGCCTGGAGGACACCATCAGGTAGGGATGGCCCTGCCCCACCCTGTTCTAGAGTGTCCCTCCCCTCCTCTGCTCAGACTGGGCCTCCCTGCCTCCTCGCCCAGGCCTCTGGTGTCCGGGTCCCCCTCCTGAGTCCTCCCATCTGCCTCCCTGGTCCCCCTGTTCAGCGGTCCTGGGAAGGATGGCAGGCATTCGGAGCTGAGGTTCCAGGGGACTGAGGCTCTGAGGGTGGCATATTTGGGAGGTGAGGGAGCTGACTGTCTGAGATCAGAGGGGTCCAGCATCCAATATCAGACCTGACAGACCCAGAAAAGCCTTGAAAGCCTAACACAGGCGCCTAGATTTGGACCTGTGGCAGTAGCAGGGAGCGCTGAGGGGTTCTTAGAAGGCGCATTCTAGGGAATCAGAAAAACAAGCAAGCAAGCCTGGGCAATATGGCGAAACCCCGTCTCTACTAAAGAAAATACAAAAATTAGCTGGGGATGATGGCAAGTGCCTGTAGTCCCAGTTACTTGGGAGCTTGGAGGGGGAGGATTGCCTGAGCTGGGGAGGCGGAGGTTGCAGTGAGCCGAGATTGCACCACTGCACTCCAGCCTGGGAGACAGAGCGAGACTCTGTTTCAAAAACAAAATAACGGTGGGGCACAGTGGCTCACGCCTGTAATCCCAGCACTTAGGGAGGCTGAGGCAGGTGGATCACTAGGTCAGGATATCGACACCACCTTGGCTAACGCGGTGAAACCCCGTTTCTACTAAAAATACAACATATTAGCTGGGCATAGTGGCAGGCGCCTATAGTCCCAGCTACTTGGGGAGGCTGAGGCAGGAGAATGGCGTGAACCCAGGAGGCGGAGCTTGAGATCGCGCCACCGCACTCCAACCTGGGCAACAGAGCGAGACTTCCATCTCAAAACAAAACAAAACAAAAACAAACAAGCAACAATAACAAAAAAAAAAAAAGAAAAAGAAAAACAAGCAAGCAAATGCATTTGTGGGTGCAGATTCCGAAGCTAGGTCCACCCATAGCCCTCTTTTGGGAGGGGAGTAATTTTTCAGCGGATTCGCCTGAATTTTCTAAGTAGGTGATCAGCTGAGCTACAAATAGTAGAAGATGGAGATTCTGTTTTCCAATGCTTATACCTTCTAAGTTTTTTTTTTTTTTCATTTCTCATTGCATTGGAGAGGACATTAATTTAAGGTAACAGTGGCAGTTAAAGGTATCTTTTCCTATTTCCTGACTTTAATAGCAATGCTTTTATAATACTTTGCCATTAAGAATGAACTTTGCTGTGCTCCAGACAGCTTTTGAAAATGAATTAAGGAAGTTTCCTTTTATTCCTAGCTCACTGAGACATACATTTATTTATTTATTTATTTATTTATTTATTTATTTATTTATTTTATATATTTTTTGAGACAAGAGTCTTGCTCTTGTCACCCAGGCTGGAGTGCAGTGGTGCAGTCTTGGCTCACTACAGCCTCCGCCTCCCAGGTTCACGCGATTCTCATGCCTCAGCCTCCTGAGTAGCTGGGATTACAGGTGCGTGTCATCACGCTTGGCTAACTTTTGTATTTTTAGTAGAGACAGGGTTTTGCCATGTTGCCCAGGCTGGTCTCCAACTCGTAAGCTCAAGCGATCTGCCAAAGCACTTCGGCTTCCCAAAGTGCTGCGATTACAGGCATGAGCCACCGCGCCAGCCTCTTTTTAAATGTTTATATAGTAATTTGTGTTAATAGATTTCCTTATCTTCATGAGCTCAATGCTAACCTTGATCAAGGTGTATGATTACTCTTTTGATATGTTGCTGGGTTCACCTGCTGAAAGACCTTAAGTCTGTGGAATCAACAATGTTCAGGGCTTTATTTTTTCAGATGTGTGCCACTATGCCCACCTAATTTATTTTTTCTTTTTTTGAGACAGAGTTTCGCTGTTGCCCAGGCTGGAGTGCAATGGTGTGATCTCGGCTCACAGCAACCTCTACCTCCCGGGTTCAAGCAATTATCCTGCCTTAGCCTCCCGAGTAGCTGGGTTACAGGCACCTGCCACCACACCCGGCTAATTTTTGTATTTTTAGTAGAGGATTTCACCATGCTGGCCAGACTGGTCTCAAACTCCTGACCTCAGGTGATCCACCCATCCCGGCCTCCCAAAGTGCAGGGATTACAGGCATGAGCCACTGAGCCCAGCCTAATTTTTAATTTTTTTAGTAGAAATGAGGTCTCCCTATGTTGCCCAGGATGGTCTCAAACTCCTGGCCTCAAACAATCCTCCCACCTCAGTCTCCCAAAATGCTGGGATTATAGGCATGAGGCACCGCACCCAGCCTGCTCAGAGCTTTTAAATTAAATTACAGGCTGGGTGCGGTGGCTCAGGCCTGTAATCCCAGCACTTTGGGAGGCCGAAGTGGGCGGATCACAAGGTCAGGAGATCGAGACCATCCTAGCTAACACAGTGAAACCCCATCTCTACTAAAAATACAAAAAATTAGCTGGGCGTGGTGGCAGGCACTTGTAGTCCCAGCTACTCGGGAGGCTGAGGAAGGAGAATGGCATGAACCCAGGAGGTGGAGTTTGCAATGAGCCGAGATCA